AAGTTTCTACATGTAACTGCGCAGACAGCCAATAGAAAGGCTTATTTAATGTTAGTCATGTAGAAATATAGTTTTTTGAAAAACAATAGGTTCCGCTTAAGCGTTATTAAGAAACGCGACAGACAGAAGATTAATAAGTATTTCAAAAAATAGTCATATACATGGCCTGTGTTTTTTGCATTTGGACGTTTATTACGGATCTCATAATAAATCCTCTCAAGCGAAAGATAATCCGTTATAAAGAGACAAGTATGTTCTTTCATCTCCAGTCAAATTTAATCGTTTTTCTTCAGGTGAATTAAGGAAGTTGTCAAAAGTCTCCATTTTCACTGTGACATTACCTTGAAAAAAGTAAATATACGCAGAAGTTCGTCAGCTAAATATCCAACTAAGGCACTTTTTAAAGAGGTAGCCTATTATGGAAACTTTTTTTATTAATATTAAGAATAACAATATGCGTGGTATCTAGCAGACATGTTCTATGCTGGAAAATGTGGTTTGCTATTTTGAAGCATATCGAAATTTGACCAAAATGGCCATCTCCATAGGAAATAATATCTAAAAGCTCGTTTTTCCGGTAAATGCTGTTTAGTTATATCTTATTTTAAAGGGTTTGATGTAAACGTCAAGCAAACGGAGAATTAGTAAACTGATCAATGAAAACAGCAAAAATTTTCCAAATGAACAGGGAATTCATTCAAAGATATTCAATAACAACGAATGTAATCATTCTCAAATATAGAAAATATTTCGAATAAAGGCAAGTTCTTTTTTTATAAAGAAAGTGGTTGCTTTAAGTGTTATACTTAAAAAAACTATTTATATTTATTGCTCTAATTTATAGCTATTTTTGACGTCTTCACAAGCTGGGAATTTTCGAGAAAATTTTATTTTTCTTAAAAAACACTTAGTACTTCTTATAGTTCTTTTAAGTACTTAATATGCCTAATGTTGCTCATTATTATGTATAAGTTTTCGTAAATGTGTTCCCGCTGGTATGAGAGAAATAATGAAACATTTACAAATTTAGGAAATTTGCTTGCAGCACTTGCAGAACAGGTGACTTCTGCCTTTGATTGTAGTGATCCGTGTACACTCACTACTTAGACCGCTACCGGGTACCTGCATTTTGGCATCATAAGTCAGCCAAATATATATATATATATTCTCGAGCACGCAATGGTTCAGCTATGCCCTGCAGTATCATCGTTTACGTTTGCCTTATGACCTACTTTTAACGACCAAATTCGTTAGCGGCCTCAGACACAAAAGCATGCATTTTTTTCATCCTTTATATATCCAAGTTTTTATTTGGATTTATATTCTTTTATCAACACTATCACGTTTCCCGTCATTTT